TATGCATATACTGTATTTACGTTATGTACAGTTATATATATATACATATAAATGTATACATACATACATACATATATATACATATACATATATACTATATAATATATATATACATACATATATATATATATATATATATATATATATATATATATATATATATATATATATATATATATATATATATCAAGCCGCAGGCACGAGAAACGAGGTACTGATTGTTTACAAACATATAAAACGAAATAAAAGAAGGAAAACGAACTTCGAAAGTAAATAAGGACACAGGAGAGGGTAAAGAAAAAAAAAAAGGAAAAGACGATAGGAGATCCAACACCCAATGATACAGAACGAGAGCCTGGCTCAGCAACACCTGATTGTTTTTACGAACTTCGAAAGTAAATTGTTCCGAGAACCTGTTCTTTTTTTAATTTGTGAATTGGAATTATGGTGTTTTTCTGGTTCTGGTTCTCTCGTCTCTTAAAGAAGGGTTGGATGGAATGAGAGAGGGGGAGGGGGAGAAAGGGGAGAAAAGGGAAGAAGGATGGACGTTGCAAAACAAACTTTTTCAAAAGAATCTATAAAAAAAATAAGAGGATTAAAATAAATGGCAAAGAAATAAATAAAATGGGAAAATGGTGCCGGCTTAACCACAGTATTAAAGATTCTCCTATCACAGTTGTTTAGAAACAAATCAATAAATACAAAGAAATATGGACACGATTAGGGAAAAAAATAAAGAAATTAAAAAAACAGAGAATACAAACAACCTAGTTCCTATTGCAGAAATATAAACATCGAAACATACTCCCAAGGAAACGCACTTGCGTATCCATAGTAACACAAGTACATCATCATACCAATTTATAATGACGAGATAATAAGTACATTTCAATAATAAGTACACAAGCTTTGGTAAGTCTTTGGGGTCAATGACCTGACTCAGATCCTTCATTGCAACTAAGTACATATAACTGACTCGATAATGTTTATAAAAAGGAAACATTTGGTATCCTGAATTAATTAAAAATCATAACATTATAATATATATCTATGACTCGTTTGAACTCATGGGTTAGTGTTATTTTTAATATAATGTTAGTAGTTACGGTTAGTCATGGGTAACTTTGGTAGCATTTAGCCTGCACTGTCTTTGGACTGAAGGAAAATGCCAAGGAATACAGCGTGGAATGTAGCTGTTAGTCAGTGTTAGCGATAGACGAACTCATGCACGCGGCGAGGCAGAGTGTCGGGCCTCAGGCACGTGTGGCAGCTGCAGCATGTGTGCCGGGCAGGACGGGCCGGGGGGACTGGCGCCAAGACCCCTTCGCGGCGGCGGGAGGCGCGTCGCGTCCCGTCCTCAGCCCAGCCCCGACCCTCCTGCCAGCAGGACGGACGCCCTCACGCTAGTGTGGTCGTGGCCGACGAGTTGATGATGACGGAGAGGTCGCCTCCGTCGTCGGCGTAGTGCGGGTGCGACGCCACGATGTGCTCCTTCAGGCGGTACTTCCGGTTAGAAGCCTATTGTGGCAGAAGGGCACTTGAAGCTGTTGGCGGCGTGTGGAGGCGCTCGTGGCGGCGACACGTGCCCGTCTGTGGTGAAATCGTTTGCCGCGCTAACAAGAACGGTACGTCAGCTTGTCCCGCGCCACACCCAGCAGATCGTCACTGTAACACGTCGCCTGCAACCACCGCTAGGTTATTGCCCGTCCTCACGCCAAACCACCCTCTCGACTCCACCAAGGTAGCCAAAACCGCGCATTGCCACACCGGCGTGCACCTAACACGATGCCAAGGTTACGCACATACGTCTCGATCGTAATGTAACACTTGTACACAAAAACACTCGTGTAGAATAATACATCATCAAACATCGCTGGGACCAAGGCAACGTACAAACGCATTTAAACATGGCAATGCATCGGAAAACTCATGAATACTTTAGCCTCCCTGTTGCTGAATAGAGACCCGAGCTGAACCGCGAGGAAGAGGCCGTGAACCGAGGCGTACTTTCGGACTGGCTCTTCTTGACGGAGAGATTTTGGCTCTCCCGGAGGGTCTGTGGCCTCCTCATCGCCTCCGTCGCATACTGCAAGCTACACTTATGTGAACCGCATGGCATGTCCGATACACTTGGATTCGAACGGAGGTCACTTGCTTAGCAACGAGAGGAGGAGGAGGGAGATGAGGAGAAGGAATCGAGAAATAAAAGAAGGAAGAAAATAAGATACGTAGATAGATAGAGATTGAGATAGACATAGACAGAAAGAGAGAGAAGAGAGAGAGAAGAAAAGAGAGAGAGAGAGAGCAGAGAGAGAGAGAGAGAGGAGAGAGAGAGAGAAGAGAGAAGAGAGAGAGAGAGAGAGAGAGAGAAGAGAGAAGAGAGAAAAAAATAAAGAAACAGACAGAAGAAGAGAGAGACAGCCAAAAGCGGAGAGATCAAAAGAAAACCTCCCATACCCAAAAAGAATCCTCGGAGTCTCCCAGCCAGACAGGACCACAGGACACCACCTTTTTCCCCTTCCTCCTCCATCCACTCCCAATCACCCCTCCTTCCCTCCTCGCCTCCCTGCCCCCAATCCTGACGAGGAGCAATGCCTGCCAAGCGCCCCAAGGCAGACGGAGCTCGGGTCTTTCCAACACCAGGGGGAAAGCGTCTATTGATCTGCATTCTTAAACTCACACAACATGAGTCGAAAATAACAAGGTGGATACATTGTGGCGTGAACGGACGGCGAACTTGTTAGTTTGTACATACACTACTCTACAAATAATTATACAATGAATTGGGCATCATCAAGTTAGAATTGTTTGGTTATATTAATGGTCAGTTAGTAGCCAAAAAACAACAAACAAAAAAAATGATGACTTGAAAAGGTAAATATTAATCATGATCAAGAGAAGCATAAATGGAGATTAAGCTGAATAGCGAGAAAAATAAGTTAAAGTCTAAATCATTAATAAATGTCAACAGTTAGGGCCTAACTATGCGACGGCTACTATTGCAGTAACGTTATCAATCACCCATGACCAAGAGTAAAAGGAGATACACTGCTACCACAAAAAACAACAAACGCCTACACACGCACACACACACACACACACACACATCTCTCTCTCTCCTCTCTCATCTCTCTCTCTCACAACACACCACAAACAAACACACAAACAAACACAAACTACTGTATATGTATGCATGCAGTTTCGAGTTTCGAGTCTTTTACCTTTAGAATCTCAAGTTCCTAACAGCTAAGTCTCGGTGTTCACAAAGAATGACCTAATCACACAAAACAAACAAAAAAAACCATAACACAAAACAAAACATCATAAACAATAACAAAACAACAACAAAGGACAAGAACAAGAAAACACGAACAGACAACCGACAAAGGACAGAAGATTTCGATTCCTTCTTACGCAACAACAGACCCTCAAACAAGCAAGCGATTGTTATCCTACTCGCATTACGTGGGTGTGACGCCCCTGACGCGGTCACCACATGCGTCATCCGCCCACACTTATTGTGATTCCTGCGACCGTGTTCTTGACGAAAGGCACCCGAGTCTAAGCCCAAAAAGACTAGTCGGTTGTCATGCAATTTTCAGACGAACGGAGGAGGGCATCGACCGCATGACCATGGGATGCATCGAGCTGATCCACTGAGGCGTTTGAAAAGAACTCACGATGATTGGCGAATCTGACTGAGAGTTGAATGATCGCCCCCGTTCGAATAGAGCTTCAAACCATTAAAAGTTGGAAGTAACTTAAACTGTATAACAAATCGTTGTTGGTTACAAAATCGTACGATACTACGATATTCTATGGGATCAGGGCATTAAACTTTCCCTAAAATTCGATTCAGACGCGTTGAGAAAAAAGACGAATAAGCTACGGAATATAGCAAGAAAGAACAAGACGCGAAGAAAAAACAAGGCGCTGAACCACATATATAACATCAAAAAACAGACTGATTTAAAAATATATTAACATTTCTCGATTCTAAACAAAATTCATCGTAGAGAGCAGAATGCCAATGAAAAATTAAACTCGCCGCGTTTTTACACCTTAGAATCTGAAAGCATAAGCGCGAAGTCTTCTTGGAGACTGACATCACAGTCACTCCAGCGCCTGGCAAAACAACAAGAGAGGGCGGATGGGGGGGGGGAATCAAACAGGTGAAGGCAAGTGCATGCAGCCAAACCACATCATGCAACCTGCTAGGGAGTCGAAACGAGTCAAAAAAGGGGCTAGATTCAATGCGCATTCTTCCTTGAATGGCTGTTCGGATATCTCTCTCGTTCTTGAGCTAATGGCATATATTACGAACCGTTTGATAACAACATATTTTGGGATAAAATAATCGGAATATCTGATGTATATTACTTACAAAAAATCATATTAAATCATATAAATCAACTGCCAAGCCCTATATGAAGAATAGACCTAAGATAACGATAGCCAAAACGTCTCAAAAGTATACGACACAGAGTTAAAAAATCCTATTACAGTCTGGGGAATCGGTGCTTTGTTAAATTACTTTTTATGTATTAATTTCTTTTCTTAAGCGAGGGGGGGGGGGGTTGTATATATCTAGAATTGGGCATATGATTTGACTCTTAGAATTAGATGCGATATTGTTTTTTTTATTATTACTTATTATTCTCTAGTCATGCGCAAATCGCCAAGAGGCAGGAACCTGTGTGAAGAAGCACAGAACAGAGCCAGAGATTAGGAGCCGAGATGCCCAGACGAGAAGGATTATCAAACCCCCCTGTGCTTATATCCTTCCTTCAACCTTAGAAACCGAGCTACACACGTCCACACATGTCAGTCTGAGAGTCGTCGACCACACCTCAGACGAAGGTCCCCGATAATCTCAAAAGAGTCAGGGATCCCACGTGCCTCCACCCCCAACCCCTGTTTTCACCCGGGGGTCGTACTACTCGCAAGGACCTCCCTGCCTCCTACAACCCAACGACCCGCGTCAAGTCGTGGCGCCTTACCAAGGATCCGTCCTCACTCTCCCCTATGCCGGAGTTGGGGTCGTCGCTGAAGGAGTTGTTGTCGTCGAGCGGGTCCTCCTCCTCGACCTTGACCTCGTGGGAAGGCGTCGAGTTGCCCGAGGTGACGGTGGCCGCCAAGCCCCCGACGCTGGAGACCAGATACACGGGGTGCGGGGAGTCGCCGCTGATGTATCCTTCCTGCAGGCACATTGGGGAAGAATATGCTGTTAGTGTTTGCGCTTCAATACACGGATGGAAAAGTCACACTCAACACACTCATTCCCTTAACACACACTGCTCGCGCACTCAATCACACACACACACACACACACAACACACACACACACACACACACACACACACACACACACACACACACACACACAGCAATACAAGAACATAAAAATGGATCAAACGCCTCCTTTATATATACACAAAATCTCTTCAAACATCTGATCAGAGATACAAAATTTAAAAAAAATATATATATTCATCCACATGCAAAATAAAGAAAAAAAAAGTCCAAAACATCTAAATTGACGTGCAAAATAATCACACGACAGGCTAATATAAACTTCATTTCAGTATTTCACGACAAAGCATGCAGAGTTACTTGCATACAACGAAACTTATAAACTTATAACGGAAAGGCGTGGACGATATGGAGCATGACACAGCGACTTTACAACGAAAATTACGTCTACACTGGAAATGGATTAAATATGTGAAGCAGAGATATAAACAGGCAATAAATATCTACACTTAATGAGATATGCCAGCGGAGTCACTGGCAAAAATCTTGAGGAAAAGCATCGGATAATTTCGTCGTTATAATATGTAACAAAAATAAAGTGAAAATGATGATAATAATGAAGATAATGATGATAAATAATAATGATAATAATAATAATAATAATAAATAATAAACTAATAACAAATAATAGCAATAACGATAATGATAATAACAATATAGTAATAATAAAAATAATATAATAATGAAATAAACAAAACAACAATAAAAAATAATAATGATAACATCAATGCAAGTGACTAATGACAAATAATAACAATAACGATAATGTAATGATAATATTCAATAAAACAATAACTATAATAATAAAAATAACAAAAACAACAAACAACAATAACTAGAATAACATAAAAAATAATAATAACAAAACAATAACACTAAAGATAATAACATTAAATATCAACACAGTTACACTTAACGATCAAAATGACATCATAACAATTAATAAATAATAACAAAGAACGAACTGCATCACAGACACAGCCTCCGCACGCGAGCCAGATCAGAGACAGATCACTGCTTGCAATTGCACTGCCGTATTCGCAATGCCAAAATCTGGTCTGTTAATTGGTTTTGCTTCTCATCTTTACACATTTTGGCACAACTCAGTCTAAGCTGCTAAAGGGATACCAAAAAGTACGGAATGCGTGTTTGTGTGTGTGTGTGTGTGTGTGTGTGTGTGTGTGTGTGTGTGTGTGTGTGTGTGTGTGTGTGTGTGTGTGTGTGTGTGTGTGTGTGTGTGTGTGTGTGTGTGTGTGTGTGTGTGTGTGTGTGTGTGCATGTGCGCGTGTGTGGTCTGTTCTGTACTCATAAAAACAAACATGAGTAACAAACTGAACTGAAAATAGTGCAACTAATAACAAAAAAACAACAACAACAATAATTCGACAAACAAAACGGTGGACAAACATACTACACTTTACCAACACTACATACAACAACTTGGACGAACAAATAAGAAAATGCGAACAAAGATGTGGACACAACCACAGCAATCGCATAGAACCCATACGACATTCACTACTCTATTCGCAAAAATCATCGCTCAGTCTGATCGAACCCTTCTGGGACCACGTGACTCCTGCTCTGTTTACTCCGCCACTGACAAGCAACAGATCAATTAGATAAACAGATAATTAGCGACGATTGCCGGTCACATAAGTTCCAAAAAACTGTCTCTTGTCTCGGATAATTAAGTGGATAGCGTATTGTTAGCAAGAAGTAAGTGTTATTAACTGAACTGAACGTGTTAACCGAACTGGCGGGCGTGGAAGGTAAGACCCAACTGCCCAATTGGACTGTCCTGTGCATTTAACGGCGAGGGAGTCAACGTTTTACCCCCGAAGGTCTACCGTCACATTAGCGGGACCCGTGGAAGAGCTTGTCATAAATACAAAGTGTCAGGAACAATTAGTAATACAGGCAATATCAATAACCATTAGCGATATAGGCAATGTTAGTACCCCTTGGCAATGTGGGCAATATTAGTACTATTAGTTTCAATATTAGTAATATTAGTTCCGATGTTAGTAACTGCGGTCTGACGGTCGTCCCAGAAGGCACCAGATCAGACGGGCGATGCGTTTAGTATACACCTGGGTTCTTCTAACAAGCAATGGACAGGTAAAGGTACGGGCAGGAGGTGAGGAAAAGGGTGAGAAAGGGAGACGAAGGAGAGACGAAGGGAGACAAAGGAGAGACAAAGGGAGACAAAGGAGAGACGAAGGGAGACAAAGGAGAGACGAAGGGATGACACAGAACGTCGGTAAGGGAAGGGAAAGTGAGACAAAAGGGTCAAGCGGATTGTGAATTTGAATAGGAGGAATACGCGGATTCTTAGAGGAAAATGTAAGAAAATAAAAAAAAGAGTTGAAAAAGTGTAGGTAAAATCCAATTTGAATAGGAGGATGGTTACGTAAGGTCTTATAGGAAAGTGCAAGAAAATAACAAGAGCTGAAAAGTGTTGGCAAATCCAAGTAGTAAAGTTTAGCGGAGGGAGGAGGGCAGGGAGAGGGAGAGGAGGAGGAGGAGGGGGGGGGGAAGGGGGTCAGCAGGTGGCAGGGTTGTGGCAAGAACGTGAGAGATAAGGCTTGGATCCTGATGCCCCATAAAAACAACGTGGGGGGAAACGTGCCTCTGACAAAACAAAGTCAAACTAAATAATGATGTCTTTTCATTTCGAAAACGATTGCAATCAGAGTGCATCGTGGGGCCGAGATTTTATTATTTTTTTGAATACTCGCTGCTACCCCGAGGCTGCAGCGGTGACATGTGCAATGGAGTTGCTACAAGACCCGATCCAGCGTGCAAAGTTAAGCCTTGTTGGGGTTACACAAGAGGCTTGGGAAGCAATACATACAGGACTTAAAAACAAATGTGTACAAGGAGATTTACTTCACTCGGCGTGCGAAAGCGTAATTCGCATTTCACTGCATTTTATTCAAGGTCTCGAACGTTCTATGGAAGTGATCAGTTTCTCCGGCATATGCAATTTGCAAACTTTAACAGAGGCAATAACCTGGGGAGGGTAATGAGGAAAGCGAGGAAGAGGAACGCTCTGCAGAGAGGGAGTTTGAGCTTAATATTTGGGGATGCGAGGGGACGAGGGGAGGGGAGGGAAGGGGAGTGAGGTGAGACGGGGCCGAACACGGGGCTTCAGAATCCAGGGTTGTGATGGACTTACAATGAAAGTGGTCTTGGAGTCGTCCTGCGCCCGGTCTAACTCGATCACATTCTGTGGTACCTAAAACAAGGCCCGGAGATCAGACACATGCTGCTGTTTGAGAGTGGTGTTCTTAAGCTCTTTGTTATGCATCTGACTCGTGGTTTGATTTTACAAGAACACTGGAAGGATTCTACGTCAGTTATGGTACATCTGGCGTGTGACATTTGGTGTGATAATCCCTTAGAGTCTGTTACAAAATCACAGACGGAAAAAAAATTACATTTTCTCGTTTTATTCTGATATTCCGGGAGATAAGAAGACAAAATAAGGTGCAACCCAAACCAGAGAGGCTCCACAGTCATGGAGACTGAATCTGCGTAAAACACTTTACATAAAACAACTGTGGATAAGCAACGTTCCATACATATTTTTCTTTTTCTTTCTCTCTCTTACCTCGAAAAAAAATGAGATAAAAATTGACAACCAAATACCTCCCCCCCCAAAAAGCCAAGATAAAAAAAAAAAAAAAAAAAAATGTCAACGCAAATAAGAAACAAAACAGGCGAACTCTGCGTTGAGAACTCTACACGAAAGACCGACACAACCCGTGCGTTGCTCTGCCTTAGATCCCCGGCAAAGTCCTCTCCGCCCTCACACCTGTGCTCCCTGATACTGCCATAACAGTGCAGTTGTTATGAGCGCTGTTGCTGCCAATGCTATTAATGGTAAACAGTCGTTGAGTGTGGATGTGCGTGTGGCAGGACATAGATTGAGAATGAGAGAGAGAATGAGAGAGAGAATGAGAGAGAGATGAGAGAGAGAATGAGAGAGAGAATGAGAAGAGAGAGAGAATGAGAGAGAGAAGAGAGAGAGAGAGAGAGAGAGAGAGAGAGAGAGAGAGAGAGAGAGAGAGAGAGAGAGAGAGAGAGAGAGAGAGAGAGAGAGAGAGAAGAGAGAGAGAGAGAGAGAGAGAGAGAGAGAGAGAGAGAGAGAGAGAGAGAGAGAGAGAGAGAGAGAGAGAGAGAGAGAGAGAGAGAGAGAGAGAGAGAGAGAGAGAAGAAAGTTATCTCGGTATGGGTAAATCACATGTGTTCGGGGGTGCAGGAGGATAGAGGAAGGGGAGGGAGTGGAGGGTGGACAATAGACAGGCCTCTCGCCTCCCGCCACCTCCTCCTGGCCCTCCCCCACCCCGCCCCCCCCGTCCCCCCACACGGAAGTCCGCGCCCTGGTGAGGGGAAGCCCCACGACACGGACCCGCCACCGCCGACTTAACGAGGGGACAAGGGCGCTGCGACTGCAAGGCGAAATGAATAAATTGCAAAAGCTGTACACTTCCCCTTCGCCATCGGATCAGCTGGAGAACGAGCTGGTAGCAGACCGCGACGCCGAGAAAGGGGGGGGGGAGAGAGAGAGAGAGAGAGAGGAAGATGGAACACGCGACGGAACACTATCGAACATCGGGTGAACACCAAGTGAACATCGAGTGAACATTGTACTAGGTTATAGCAACACCGTCCATCCAGCTACAGCGGCTCTAGGAAGCTGCAGTCGGGGCATAAACGAACTAAAAGCACATCAGTGTCTGTGCTGAGTACACGTGCAGCGGCGGTAGTGGGGCAGGGTAGGTGGCAGGAGGGTGGCAAGGTGGGGAATGTGAGTGCAGGTGTGGTGGTAGAAGGTACTGCGCTGGAAGAGGGCGAATAAGGTGTGTACGTATAAGTGAGTGAGTGTGTGCGTGTGCGTGTGTGTGCGTTGCGGATCTGCCTCGCTTGGCACGCGTCACCACTACCACCCTGATCCGCTCCCCCCACCTCCTCCCGACCCCCTGCCCCCTCTTAAACAAGCTGCCCGGTCTCCCCTCCTTTCCTCCGCCCCACGTGCACCCGGGGATCAATACAGTGACCCACGGGGCGCGTCATCCCCTAGGCACCACTGCTAGGGTAGCCTCTCGCCCCATTCCTCCTGGCTGACCCCTCTAGGCACGCCAGCCCTCTTTCGCACTCCCCTCCCCGCGCCCCCTTTCCCCTCTGCCTCCGACGAAGGCGACGGCGCTGGCGTGGGTTAAAGGCCCGGCTCCTGGCACGGCTGGGAGACCGCATTACCTTGGATAGCTGCCCGGCTTTGGCCGAGATAAAAGCAAAACCTCTCGTGGAGCAAACGACTGAACGAATAAACAGCTCGTAGTCTATTTTCCGAATATCTGGACGAATCTCAGATCAGCGGAAGGCAACGGCGACGTCTCGACACAGCCCCGGCGTCGGAAAAACAGCGGCGGAGTTGAGATTGAGCCGAGCTAGCAACGAGGAAGGGTTGAGGGAGGCCTATGAAAGAGCGACGAAGTGACCACGCAGAAAGAGCTCGCAGCGCGTGGGTCTACGTGGATGTGAGCAAACCGGATAAAAATACAGCCACCGGTCGCGGGTGCACACGTCAGGGGATCCCCCGGGGTCAACAGGACGGGTCTATTCCCTATGAATCATCGAAATTATCATGTCCTCCTGTGGTTGTGAGGGAAGAGGGGGAGGGAGGGAGGGAGGGGAGAGGGGATGGACGCGAGGGTCGGCGCACTGCTGGGTTGTAAGGGTCGAGTGGCCACATGCCTGGTGTTGGGGTGGGGCGGGGGGGGAGGGGGGGAGGGGGCGGTGAGACGAGGGAATGGAACAGAAGAGAAGTGAGGGGGGGGAGGGGAGGGGTGAGTTGGCACGAGCCAGGCTGTGCTGGAGCCGCTGCCCGCCACCGCCACCACCTTCCACACCCACGATCAATACAACCAACAGAGTACCCGGGCACAACTCCGCTCTGCTCCCTTACCTCGGAGAGCCCTTCCTCTGGCCATTAACGCCGCCTGGAACATCAACTCACATCTTCACCCGAGACATCCCCGCCGGCCCCTCTCGGCGTCGCCATGGCCTCGCCGCCGACGAGCCACGGCGAAGGCACCTTTCGGAAGGACTGTGCCACCGCGAGGAGCGAGGACTTCAACCCTGCTTGTAATGCGACCTTCTCTACCTCGCCTCCCTCCCTCCCTCCCTTCCTCGCCTACCTCCCTTCCTCCCTCCCTCCTCCCTCGCCTTCCTCCTCGCCTCCCTTCCTCCTCGCCTCCCTCCCTCCCTCCCTCCTCTCCTTTCCCTCCTCCCTCCCTCCCTCCCTCCCTCCCTTCCTCGCCTCCCTCCCTCCCTTCCTCGCCTCCCTCCCTCCCTTCTCGCCTCCCTCCCCCCTCCTCCTCTCCTCCCTCCTCCTCCCCTCCCTCCCTCCCTCCCTCCCTTCCTCGCCTACCTCCCTCCCTCTACTCCTCACTCCCTCCCTCCCTTTCCCTCTCCCCGGCACTCCGCATCACCCAGGCACTGAAGTAAGTGTGTGCGCTCTTTTCTCGTAAACATGTGATTGCCGTCACATCTCTGGTTATCATCATCAACTCTTCTGTCTCACTCCCTTGTCTCTCCTCATTGCCCTTCCACCTTTTCCTTATCTGTGCTTCTCTTTCTCTCTCCCTCCCATTCCCCTCCCTGTATCTCCTCTCCCTCTCCCATATTCTCCTTCTCTCTCTCCTATTTATATATCCCCTATTCTCCTTCCCCCAACTCTCTCCATCTCCTTCTCTCTCTCTCTTCTCCCTCTCTATTTATATATCCCCTCTTCTCCTTCTCCTTCTGCTTTTACCTCGCTCTCACCCTCAGCCTCACCCACTCTCACCTTCACCCTCACCCACACCCCCACCCTCTCTCTCCCTCTCCATCTCCTTCTCTCTCTCCTCTCCCTCTCTATCTATCTATCTATCCCCTCTTCTCCTCCTTCTGCTTTTACCTCGCTCTCTCCCTCACCTCACCCACTTTCCCCCCCCCTCTCTCCCTCTCCCTCTCCATCTCCTTTCTCCCTCTCCTCCTCCCTCTCCTATCTATCCCCTCTACTCCTCCTTCTGCTTTACCTCACCCTCACCCTCACCCACTCCTTCTCCCTCACCTCTCCCCCCCACCCCACCCATTCCCAAAGTTCACCCGCGACTGTTCATTTCACCGTCGCTCCCCGGACGTCCACCTCCTGGACTTATCTTTCCGCCAGGCTCCCATCTCGCTCTCCCGCTCCTCCTCCTCCACGCCCCCCGAACACAGCCGGCGAACCTCCGTCACATCCTGAAGCCTCGGACATTCAGCGGCCATAAAGATTCGTTCCTTTCGCCTTCCCTTTTCCCTCCTGATTTCTATTTATATCTATGGGAGCCTTGGTGACTAGGCGAGGGGCACTGGGTGATCAATGCCATTAGGGAAGTCAGCTGGAATACTTACAATGCCGCGTGTAAGTGGGTCTGAGATCACAGAATACGTTATCATATCTATCCTATTCTTTCGCAGCTTTCACAGGTAACAAAACAGCCGGATCATCTTTCGTGACCATCCAAAACAATCAAAAAAGGCCTCTCATCCACAGCTATTATACTTATCTAAACATATCTTCCACTACCATCATACAACACTTAAGGTATCACAATATCCCACAACATGAGAGAATAAAACAGGCAATGGCACTGTACCGAAGTGACAATATCCCACACCATAAGAAAGAGAGAATAAAACAGACAAAGACACTGCACCGAGGTGACAATATCCCACACCACTGTACCGAAGTGACAATATCCCACACCATAAGAGAGAGAGAATAAAACAAAGACACTGTACCGAAGTGACAATATCCCACACCATAAGAAAGAGAGAATAAAACAGACAAAGACACTGTACCGAAGTGACAATATCCCACACCATAAGAGAGAATAAAACAAAGACACTGTACCGAAGTGACAATATCCCACACCATAGAAAATAGAGAATAAAACAGACAAAGACACTGTACCGAAGTGAAACTAACAGGGCACAGTGACCGCATCTGACGCCAAGGGTACCTGAAGCACCCCCCGCGTTGCACTGCCACGGCCGGCACTCTACGGTAACGAAGGGCCGAGTTTCACAACTCCCTCTCCAGTCGAGCCAAATTACTTGTCATGGAAGTCTCCGCGTCTACCTCTCTCTCTCTCTCTCTCTCTCTCTCTCTCTCTCTCTCTCTCTCTCTCTCTCTCTCTCTCTCTC